CCTTACTCACCAATAAAAGCTCCCTTTGAATGTATCCCGCAAACTCAAGAAAAAGAGAGACTCCCAGTTGAAAACAACAGCAGACCACAAAACATGGTACTACGGGACGTAAACAGGAAGTGTAGTAGTTTATGAGGGCTGCTGTAACAGAGTCCCACAGACTGGGTGGCTTCAACAACAGAAAACCATTTTCTCATAGTTCTGGAGGCTAGAAGTCCACAATGGGGATATCAGCAGAGTTGGTTTCTGCTGAGGCCTCCCTCCTCGACTTGTGCCTGACCACCTTCTCTCTATGACTTCACATGGTCTTTCCTCTGTACCTGTGTCCAAATTTCCTCTTCTTATAAGGACACTAGTCAGATTGGATTAAAGCCAGTGCATATTACCTCATTTTACCTTAATTACCTCTTTAAAGGTCTTATCTCCTCAGACATTCTGAGGCATGAGGGTTAGGACTTCAACATATATGAATCGAGGCAGGGACATGATTCAGCCTATAAGAGGAAGGCACCCAATAGTTCATGTAACCTCTGAAAAAATTAAAAGCCTGTAGACACTCTCCACAATGCTCATGAAAGTCAAAGAGACTCAAACCGTTCTCCTGCACAGATTGCACACATCTCTAATAATATGGGCTTTGCCCACTTTGGGGGCTGTGTGTGGCCTGTGCGAGGGCATAAATGGCACAATGCAGCAACTTTTTTTAAAGCAGCCCCATGGGAGTGAGTTATGGAGGAGGAGATGCAGCTGGACTGCCAGTGTCAAGGTCGGCTGTGCTGGCATCCGAACAGCAGCTGTTGGAGCAGTGGGAAGGAACAGGAGAAGGAGAGAGCGGAGCCATGCACCTTGTCCAGGAACCATGCTGATTCTACTTCCCCTGCAATTTTTTACTTAAAGGAATTCCTCTTAGCCAGTTAGGAAATCTGGGAGCAGATCCTGTATCACTGGAGATGTGATCCCCTCTCCCAACCCCAAGCATTTGATAGGGATGACAGAGATGGAAAAACCCTCATTAGCAATAGGCCCTGCCCTTTCATATTTCCAAAGAAATCTGCAAAGAAAAACAAGTGTGTTCAAACACCCCTCCACACCACCCTGCAGTATCGGGGGCCTGGGCCCTCCAGTCTGGGAGCTTCCTGTTTTTCCTGTGGGAACAGTGGATGTGCTTGAAGGTATGCTCCGGAATGACTATGGGCCTCCCTGACAGACACAAGCCTAAACAAGAGTGACAAAGGGAACTAGGGAAACACAGCTTCCAGTCTAATGGAACAGGATCACCGAGAGACACTCAGAACAAAACCAATTATAACAATGACCAGAATTACAGAGTGCCTCCTGTATGCCAGGAACTTACGTTTATCATACAATTCAATCCTTTCACTCTGAGGTAGAGATCGCTACTGTCATTTTACAGATAAAGAGACCAAGTTCAGCAAGGTTACACAACTCTCTTCCCCAAGATTACCAACTGGGACAGCTGTCCACGGGGCTGTGCAGTCTCCCCTGGGCCCAGGCCACTGGTGGCAGAACACCACAGGCCTGGCATCCTCCCGTGCAGGTCCACCATGCCTCAGGGGCCATGGTTCTCTCTTCTGCCTCTGCCAAGTGCAGCCTCCCATGGCCACTCTGCACCCTGCTCAGGAAAGCACACAGAAGGCCCTTAACAAAGGGGACTTGAACTCAAGCATCGTCAGGTTGTGACAAAAGCCATGTTAGGTCCCTGGGGTGAGTCCTGATCCTGGATAAAGGCACTGGGAGGCCCAGGAACACCCCCACAGGGTAGTGGAGGGCTGGCCTGTCAGCCACAGGGGAGCACACAGCTTTAGCCCTGCAGGGGGAGGGACAAAGGTAGTAAACAACAACAGATTTCCAGACTCTGAAGGAATGGCCTTCTATGATCTATGGTGCCCCTCTTCCCTTTCACAGTGAGGTGCTTGATTTGGGGTCCAGTCTGAAACAGCAACTGAATTGAAAAGACAGACAGTGGAGAACAGGTATGCCTCCCTCACTGTGTTCTTCTGGGTAAATCATTCCCCCATCAATGCTTTGTTTCTATAGCTGCCAAACTGGGTCAATAATGCTGACCACCTATTTCTCTTAGGGGAAAGAAGAAAGTGTTTACAGCCAGCAGAGCTTAGAGTTCCTGGAGAAAAGTATTAGATAAACACTGTGCCATTCAAATGGAATCTGGGCTTGTTTATACTTTCACTGCCAAAATAAAAGTACACAGCACTTCAAATGTGTCCTCTAGAGCTTAAAAGGCCTTTTTCATTTCCTGAGTTCTTTGGGAAAGAAGTTACTAATGTGTTTTAGAATACAATGTATTTTTTTCTTTTGGAATTTGGAATCTCTGGATAGGTGAGCAAAAATCAGATTAAGATATCAAATTAGTCATTAATTTCTACTCACACACAGACCCTCCTTCTTAGCAGGTGTCAATCAAAAGTTTATAGAACACTGTCAGTCTGAGGGAAATCCTGACTCATCCTCTTATCCTTTATGGAGAGCAAGGTATTTGCTTTTCCTTTTTCTCAATCAAAACTGGTTTCTTCCCCAAAGCCCTTTCTGAATGGCTATTGATTTTCTCTGGCTTGAATAGGCTGTTAATAATGCTGGGTCCTCAGGGATCCCTTTAAAGCCTTTTCTTTCTTTGGGCTTGTATTTGTTTGCTGAGGCCTTCTGGGGGCCTGCCTCCCAGGCCTAAACAAGCAGCACATCTACACCCTGCCTGGGTCAGAGGGTGGGGCAGTGAGCTTGCTGATGCCCATCCTGCCCCAGCACCTCCCTGCCCCTACCAGGTCCAGTCTGCATGCAGCTCCTGCTCTCAGCAGTTTGCCAGCAGGCAGGCACCCACTAGACGGCTAACTGCTGACCCAGGCAAGAGATGCTGAGAGGATGAAGGACCGTCCCTGAGCCTGGTACTTCTTAGGCATCTCTGGAAACTCCTTGGCCTCTCCACTTGTTCCAGTCCCAATCTTCACTGTGGGGGCCAGTTCTGTGAGGGCCCCAACAAACTTCACCCGGGCCTGACACCACAGTGCCTCACCTCCAGGCCAGCCGCTCACCACCAGTCCTGGGAATTCCCTACCAACCCTGACTCGTAACTGCCTCGTGGCCTGCCTGGTGCTCAAGCATGGGCGGTGTGGAGGGAGGGGTGGAGGGAGTCATACTCTATGGGCCAAACCCCTCCACTGGGAGATGGGAGCCACAAATACATTCTTCTCTCTTCTTCCTCCAGACTGAGAAAGAATGTTGTAAAGTTGTGTTATGGCCTCTCAGAAGAAGGTCTCATTAAACAAGCAGCTGTAGTTTACACCAAGTTGTGGCCAGCTTGAAGACATGCCCTTCTGTTGGCTCTCACTAGGCCTCACACCCTTTGCCCCTCCCTTAACCTCCACCCCTAGGGATCACTCACTCCCCTACGAGAGCAAACCTGTTTAAGCATTTACCTCAGGCTCTGCTTTCTGAGGAACTCGGGGTAGACAGTCCTTCGTAAGGATGTGAACATTCTGAAAGGAACCCTAAGGAGGAGGCGATGAGACTCTAAAAAGGCGTTCTAATGATGGCATCAGGGGCAGCAGGTTTGAGGAGGGTGATGTCAAGCCAGATTTTCAGAACTGGGAAAGGAATAATGCTCTCCTTTGCTGCCTTGTCACCTCAGGTCACCTAGCCTCCTCTTCCTTCTGCTCTTGCCTCAACCCAAGCTTCTCTCTGCCTGGCTGTGCTGTGACACGTTTTTTCCCACTTGTACATTCTGCTTCCTAAGGTATTTCATCCCAGAGAAACACCTGCTCCCACTGAAGGAGGCTGCCTGCATTATAAATGAGCCTCCAGTAGAAAAAGATGTGCTCAGGAGGAGGGAAGGAGAAAAACAGGTAAACAAGTGGGTCAGAACATTTCTCTGAGCATCCCAGGACAATGAAACTTTGCATTCCCTTGGGCCCCTTTTGAACCCCGAAACCAGTGTGGGCTGGTTGGAAATCATCATGACCACTGCTTTCTTCATGTGTTCTGGGTTTCTCCACCTCTGTCCCTTGCCTCATGCCTCGCATGTGCCCTCTTTCTTCCTTACGCTGCATGTCCAAATCCTATAGGTTCTTCAGGACTCAAAACAAAATGCTAACTCCTCCAGGGAGGCTTCCTGAATTCCCTGGTTGGGCATGATCTCTCAGTCCTCAGTCTTTTTCCCTTCTTAACATTTTTACCTCTGATGGTAAGCACCCTATTAACGGGCCTCTGGGCGATTCTCCTCTGTGAGTCAGATAAGGGCCCTGCACATGGTGGTTGGTCAGGAAATAGTGAGGAAAGGCAGGAAGGAAGGGAAGGAAGGAGACTCTGTGGGCCCAGACAAGTCCCCTGAGTCTAGGATATGGCAGGTCAGTGGCCAGTTTCCTTTGCTTTCTCCTTTGTGTGCACTTGTGGTGTTGCTAATGACAAGTCACAGCAGAGAATCTCACATTTGCTGCTCTCAGGTGAGGCCCTGCCCGAGCTAATTCTCTCTCGCAGTTTCCTGAAGCCTTGCAGAGAAGCCCGTGTCCCAAGCCCCTCATTGACTCCAGTGTGTGGCCTTGCAGGGAAGAGCTACATAAGGACATGGCAGACATGGGCCCCAAACACCCAGTCAGTGGGGGAGGAGGCTGTGCTGGAGGGTGGGTAGCCCCTAAATCCTGCTTTCTCCTCTGTCCTCCTCCCCAGCGAACACCCTGCTGACCTTTTACCTTGTCTCCTTTGTGTCTGGTCTCTGTGGGCTCCTCTACAGCTCTCCCTCAGCCTTACTCCCTTTCCCTTGCTTCTAATCCTTGGGATTGCACCCCCCAGTAAAGCAGATAATATTTAAGCATTTCCCCTACTTCCCTTCTTTTAACACTCTCTGTGGTTTAAGTACATGGTGACTGGACCTATAGTCTTGCACACTTAGGCAATGCTCTTTTGCACTTCTGGAGCCCTCAAACATCTGTAATGAATTAGTAAAGACAAACCATTTCCTTAATCCTAATTACCTGAAGAATAGAGACCATGCCCTGAAGACAGGGTTCTCTCCTGGAGAGTGGGCATGGCATACCGGCAATGGATGCAAGTAGCTTTTTAGACCTGCTGAATCTGCTGCTAGTTGTGGCCCAGGCATCCTGTAGAGTTTCTGGATAAAATATAAAATGTCCAATTAAATTTTAATTGCAGATAAGCAATGAATAATTTTTCATCAAGTATATCCTGCACAGTATTTGGAACATACTTATACTACAGATTATTTGTTGTTATACGAAATTCAAATTTAACTGGACACCCCATATTTTTATTTCCTCATTCTGGCAACCCTCCCTTAGAGGCTCCCAGAGGCCTCTCTTGCAGTAGTTCTCTGGCAACCAGTTACAGCTCCCCCTCTAGGCCCCTGGGACCAGGGAGAGGTAGGATCAGCTGCAAGAAACTTCAGGAGTTTCAGGATCATTGATTTCTTACCCCCTAAACCATTTTACAACACAAAAAGGATTCTTTTTTTTTTCTTTTAGAATTACTTTTAAGATGGGTTAAAAATATATTCTTTGTTATATTGTACATGCTCTGTATTATAGAAACGGTTAAACATGGAGAGGGCTTACAGTTTATACAGGGTGGCATATGCAATCTCTCCTCACTCTCAAGATAAGCTTCCAGAAGCACAGGACAATCACCATCCGTGTCATAGTTGAGGTACTGGAGACCCAGGGAGTCCAGTGACTTTCTGACAATCCCAGGAACAGGGCTGGAGGCCAAAACAAGCCCTATGTCTCAGCTCCCAGTACAATGCTCCTCCCTCCTGGGCAACCCACCTCCTTCTCAGGCCACTGGGCTCCAAGTTAATTAGGCAGCAAAGAAGTCTTTGGAGGAAGCTGAAAGTGAGAGGAAGTGCCCTGGAGGGACTGGTGTGGAGAGAGCAAACCAGAATGGCATGTTTTAATTGATCTTTGATTGTGCCAACAACTGCCTGCTCCCAGGGCAAGCAACTGCTGCTTCTGAGTCAGCACCCTTGGGAGAGGCCCAGCCTGCCCACAGTGCAGGCATTTCTGGCTTCCCCCCAACCCAAGCTCTTGTGCAAGAACAGGGTCTGTGCAAAGCAAAAGGTTTCTTCTACTTTCTTAATTAGTCAAGCTGCCTGGAGCCCAGAGTCCTGGGAATACTGTCCAGGGTCACCAGCTTCCCCCAACCCTTCCACCCATCTTATCCCAGAAGCCCCAAGAGACCCAATTCTGCTGAAGAAGCTAGACTCACCTCAGAAGGCACTGCAGGAAGCTTTTGAACCACAAAATACTTCGTGGAGTTCGAAAACTTCTGAGCTACATAGTAAGTTTCACAGCATTAGCATTTATTCAGGGCCACCCTGAGTGCATGTGCCCAGCTATAACCCTGGAGAAAGAGAAGAAAGAAACTCTCTTCAGTGTCTCAGGGACCTTGGGATTTGGAAAGGTCTCTTGTCACCGGACAGGGGGAAGGACCCTGGATTTGGGGCCCCCTTGCCAATTAACTCACAAAGCCTATGACTTACTTGTATCTCCACAAAGATGTTTCACAGGCATCTCACACCTAACAGAACCCTTGGTTTCCTCCCTCTCACCTCCAACATGTACCTCCGCTAATCTTCCCAGGTCAATAAATGACTTCACCATCTAGCCCAAAATAAATGGTATGGCTTAAACCAAAAATACAGATTCATCTTCGAGTCCTCTTCTCATAACATCCCCACAGCCAATCCATCAACTAGATCTTTTGTTTCTACCATCACAAGATACCTTGAATCTGTCCATTTTGTTTCATCTCCATTTTCACCATTCTCTTACAAGACACTAAAATCTAACAACCCAGTTAGGTCTATCCACAGCCACTGTAGCTTATGACAGTCCCTTTCCCCATACATCATCCCAAGGTCCTACATGATCTGGCTCCAACCCACCTTCCCATGGGCATCTCTTCCTGCAAGTAAGAACTAAAATATCACATGACCCTGCCGAATCCCTTCAGTACCAGAATCTGCCATTTGCATATTTACTCATCCATGTTCACTGTCATGCCTCCTTCATCAGAATGTAAGGTCTTTAAGGGCAGCCTGTTTTATTCTCAGCTAGATCCCCAGTATGCCAGTGTACCCCGAGTATGCCTAAGGCTGCCATAACAAAGTACTACAGAGAAAATGGCTTAAAACCACAGTGTTGTATTCTCTCACAGTTCTGAAAGCTGGACATCCAAATCAAGGTCTTGGCATGGCTGTGCTCCCTCCAAAGCCTCTAGGAGAGGATCCTTCCTTGCCTCTGCTAGCCTCCAGTAGCACCAGGCCGTCCCTCACTGTGGCAGCATAATTTGAATCGCTGCCTCCTTTTCCACCTGGCAGTATTCTCTTTACATTTGCATCTGTGTCTCTCCTCCTCTTACAAGGACAGTGGTCCTACTGGAGTAGGGCTCATCCTACTCCAGTATGACCTCATCTTAACTTGATTATCTTTACAAAAACTTTATTTTCAAATAAGGTCACATTCATAGATACCAGGTGTTGGGACTTGAGCATATCTTTTTGGGGGGAATGCAAAGCAACCCATAATAGTATGGCATAATAGATGCTCAAAAAATATTTTGGAAATGAATGGATATTTTCAGTGGAGTCAGTAGAACACACAGTGAGCTGATTTCCAGAGCAGCAAATACAAGCACCTCAATACCAAACCTGCAAGTGGAAGGAAGCCTGCAACTATATAATGCCAAAGTAACTCACTAGTAAGAAACATTCAGATAAACCAGTTATGCAGTATTACACAATTTTTTTAAATATTAGGAAATTATTTAAATTTTTTTCACTGATTTCAATAAGCTGGCCAACAAGGCAGACTGCAGTTTATAAATACCTTTACATATACCCTGTCTTTGTCTCCTCCCAGAGGAGTGGGCATGTGAAATGGCTGAAGGGGCAGAAGCTCTGAGGGAGGATGTGGCTTGTGCAGGAAGTGGCAGGACCAGCATGGGGGCCCAGGCCAGTGGGACTGCTTGACCAGTGCCCCTGAAGGCAGTGACTGCGTCAGACCCACAAGCCCTGGCCAAGGGCAGTCGGACAGTGTTTGTGTGGAACTGCATGATGAATGCAGAAGAATAAGAAAGAGGACAAGATGGGAGGTATTTTGTTTAATTTCAAAGGAATCTAACCAGGAGTTGGGTGTTCATAAATGAGACTGATTCTATATATCATTTCAAAAAAAAGATTCTTTAGTAAGACCTTATGAGATCATAGCTTCATAGTATTGTGGAGCTGGAAGACACTGCGTTAGCTCCTGGGAAGAGGCCCTTGTCCTCAAGAAGGGTGAACTTTCAGGAGTGGGATTAAAACTCAAATGGCTCCAAAACAAAGCAGAACCTCCTTAGAGTGTCACCAAAGGTTCCAGAGGGACTCAGGAATGAGTCTCTATTGCTATGACCCTTAAAGAAACCTTACTGCGGAGGGGGGATCCCTTTGATCTAGGTCTGAAAGAAAAAACATAAATTTTACAGGCAGAAATGCATGCTGAGAAGAGGGAATAGCTTGAGCAAAGGAGATTAGAAAGGGCTGGGTGTGTAATAAGGGGCTCAGTGGGGGACCCGACCAGAAAGTGGGCTGGGACAATCAGCTCATTCTCCACGGGAACCCTGCAGTGGGACTAACACTGGCTTGGGGTTCCAAACCCAGCTCAGCCACTGATTCCCTGAGGGAACCTCTCCCTGAGCCTCTGAGCCTGTTTCCTCATCTATAAATGAGAGGGTTTTCTAAAGACATTAAGTGAGGCCTCAAGTTCTTCAAAGATACTTCTTTGATTAGCTTTCATGTTAAACTGCATGGTCAGACTTTATCTTAAGAATGGTTTTTGCGCTTTAAAATGTTTAAAAGCCACTGGTCTCAATAATGGCATTCCCTCCAACTGTATAATTCTATTTCTTTCTGCTGCAGGCTGAAGAGTTTCTCTGGTTTCTTATTCAAATGAAGCATGACTCATTTAGGATTTATCAGATCTATGGTTGTATTAAGTCACTTGAGCTGGTTCCAGTGGAAAATCCATTTTTATTTATATTCTTTGGACAAAGAGCTGAAAGAGTCCTAAGCACCAAGGTAGCAGTTCTGGCTCCACGCTGCTCTAACAAATGTCATTCCTAAGTATAAATAAAACAATGAATATGAGTTGAATAAATGCAAACCAGTGACACCATTTTGAACAAATCTTCTTACCTCTCTGACCCTTGTTTTTACCATCTCTAAAATGGGGACAATGCCTGCTTGGCCTGCCTCACACCACTTTTGTGAGGCTCAAATAAGAGAAGATACGTGAAAGCTCTTTACAAACTGTAAAGCACTCCATATGTAGAATGTACTGGGTGGCACTGGGGGACTCAGGGCTTAGGACAGCAGCTCTCCTGGGTGACTGTGGAGAAGTGGTTTCACTCCAACACCTCAGGAAATAACTGATTTTCTCTGACAAGCATTTCTCAGTTTGGTCATATAAAAGAATAAGAAAAAAAAGAAAGAATTCATGCATGTGCCACCCACTTTAGATGTTTCACTTCATTCCAAGTCCCAGCTAGCCTTGTCAGACACAAGGTGAATGAAATGAAGATTTGTCATGAGAGCAGGTAGGGCCTAGCGGGAGGAGCCTTGGCTAAGACAAACCCACAGGAAAGGCAGAGGCAGAAAGTCTTGTCAGGTTTCCAAAGATATCGACCAGTTCTTTGTATTATTTGTGAGCCCAGAATGGGGCTTTCTTAGTTACTACTGAGTTTGTAATCAAAGCTGTATCATTAGGCCAGTGAATGAATGGGCACAATTTCTCCTGCAGTTTAGGGAAACACTGATTCTTCCATTGGACTTACTCACTCTGTTTCATCTACTTACCAAAACTTCCCAATGCCATCCATCCTTCTGTAGCCCAAGCCAGTATCACCACAAGTTTCTTTAACCTGCATTGCTGGAGGTGTTTCTCAATTGATTCAAATATGCTAGTCTTCTCAACAAGGGTTTCAAACATCAAGAGAATGCTGTCCTAGGTAGGCTCTGAAACTGGAATGCCAGAAATAATGCCTTTGCTCTAATATTCCCTGGCTCCCTATCTTGTGGGCCATATATTCCTCAGCCTGAACTCCAGTCTGGCCCCATTCTGGAGGTGATAAGGCCTACTGGCAGAAGCCCTGAACTGGGGAAAGGAAATGGACCTCTATTCTCATCTGCCTCAGCTCCTGATAGCAAATGTGCATGTCCCTTCTGCTGACTGTGCCTCACTTTCTCTGCAGGTCCAATAGGAGGGCAAGCTAGTCCAGCTGTAAAGCTCCATTCATTTTCAAGGGGGCTAATACTGGGGTAAGAGGAAAGCTGAGAGGACAAAGCAGTTCTGCTTTCAGCAGGTTAAAACATTCTGAGTAAGGTTTCTTTGGTGAAGAATTCTGCTGCTAAAACATGCTTGAAAAACACTGGCCTTCACCTGACTCTGAGACTGTCCCAACAGCTTTTCTTCCCTGCACCCCTGCAAGAAGCTCTATAATATTCTTGCTGTAGTGACTTTACTCAAGACCCTCATCCTGATGCACAATGCTTAGGCTCTGATTCCAGCCTCATCTCCAAGAAGCCAACTTGCCTGTGAGGCTCTCTGCTTCCTCTGAACAAGCCACTTGGGGTACCTGGAGCCACATCTGTCTTGGAGTGCCCTGTGCAGGGTGTCTCAAATGTGCCCCACTTCCCCAACAAGATCTTAAGACCCCTTGGGCCAGGGACCAAGCTCTGGGTCCAATCTCAGTCCTGTTTCACAAAGGGTAACTGGTAAGTGTCTGTGGACATTGAATCAGTAACTGGGCCCTGAGGTTGGGTCACTCCCAACTGTGGACCCCTCCCCACCCCCAATGTTGGGACAGTGCAAAGGACAGAGACAAGGCACAGCAACTTTCCAGGGCTGGCAGAAAATGGAGCAAGTCAGAGACAACACAGAGGGATCCAGATTGGCTCAGCTCCCTTGATAGCATCTCCCTCCTCTCCCCTATTCCTGGCATGCTTTGGGTGATGCTGCTGCACCTATAAACATCTGTGTATAAAATCTATCGCTGCACTCTATTTCCTCTCTAGATTCCTCTCTTTCTCTCCATTCTGAGCCTACCTCTGCCCTCTAAGAAGAGACCGACCTTCCTTCTAATCTGTCTCTGCTGCTGACAGTGGGTGAGCTTGAGCAGGTCCCTTCTGCTCTCTAGACCTCAGTTTCTGGAGTTCTGCTTTCCTGGACTTCTCCAGAATTCTGCCTCCCCTTTGCATGGATGCCTTACTAGGCTCCAGCCTGCCTGTTCTCCGGGATGTGGCCCTCATTCTTGGCTCTCCTTCAGCTCCAGCTCTAGGTACTGCCTGGCT